AGCTGGAAAATAAAGGCTCTGGTGATAGAAATGGCCCTGGAGATTGCATGGTTGAATTTTGCAAAACCACAGACATATTCGTTGCGTATAACTTTTTCAAAACATAAACGTTACCTAGACGCATAGATTTCACCAGATGGAATTTAAAGGAATTTCTTCCACATCTATGGAACGAGATGATGGAGAGTCTCAATAGCATCATTCAGACCAAGGCCAGGAGCTGACTGGGTAGCAGACCATCAGTTGCTTATATGCACGGTCCAATGGAAACGGAAGACAATCAAAGGAAGTTCAGAGGAGACAAAATATGACCTTGAGCATATTCTGCCTGAATTTAGAGACAATCTCAAGATTAGATTTGATGCATTGAACGCCGATTACCAAAAACCAGGGGCATCAACAATATGATCAGCATGGAGAAAGCAAAGAGCCATTCAAAAGGAAGAAAAGACCAAAGCAGATGCCAGAAAACCCTCTGAAACATGCTCTCGAATGTGGAGTATTCAAGCAAATGAAGCCAAAGAGCAGCGATACCAAAGAGCAGCTCGAGAAGACAAAGCATTCTAATGAAATGTTCAGAGACCTGGAGTTACAAAACCCAAAGAAAGAATGTTACACCGTTTCATGGGTGAGATATTGATTGATGCAGGAAACCTCAAAAAGCAGATGGGAGGAGTAAGACACAGTCACTGTACCCAAAAGAATTGGTCAAACTTCAACCATTTGGGATGGTAATGTGATCCGGAACTGATGGTCTTGGAGGAAGAATTCCAAGCTGCACTGAAAGCTATGGTGGGAAGCATTGCTCCAGGAATTGTCAGAATACCAGTTGATAGGTTTCAACAGACAGATGAAATGCTACAGGTGTTAACCCACCTATGCCAAGAAGTTTAGAAGACTGCCACACGATAATTCAACAGGAAGAGCCCCATATGCGTGCTCGTTCCAAAGTAGGAGATCCAACAGAGTGTGGAAATAATCAAACCGTATTATTAATGTGACACATAGTACATTTTTCACAGAAGATAATTAAGAAATGGGACCGACATACATGGACAGAAAGCTACCAGAAATTCCAGTCGGATTCAGAAGACAATGTAGAAGTGGATCACTTGTCACTGAAATCACTGGAACTTACCTGAAAACAGAAACCATACTTGTGTTCCACTGACAATGCAAAGGCAGTTGGCGGTGTGCATCACAATAAATTATAGATAGATTTGCAAAGAATGAAATTTCAGAGTGCTTGATTGTACTCATGCTGAACTTGGATGTAGACTGAGAGGTGTTTATTCAGACTGGGCAAGGGGATAAAGCATGGCTTCACATTGGGAACAGAGTCGGCCAGGTTTCACCACACTCATTCAATCTGCGTGTTGAGGGAACAGTACAGGCAACTGAACTCTAAAGAAGAATGCGGCACGGGGATTGGAGTTTATTAACGACCTCTGGTACTCAGATAACACAACAGGGCAGAGGACTTAAAGCACTTGCTGATGCTGACCAAAGACTTCAGGATGGATTCTATCTCAACATCAAGAAAATAAAAATCCTCACAACTAGGACCAATAGATAAAACCATGTTCAACAGAAAACATTGGCATTGTCAAGGCTTTAATTTCATGGTAGCTCACAGTCAGTCCTCATGGCAGCAGAAGTCAAGAAAGCAAATGATATATTGCACTGAGAAAATTGCTGCACAAGACCCTCTTAAAGTATTAAAGGGCAAAGGTGTTGATTTGAGGACTAAGGTGTGCCTGACCCAAGCCATGGCATTTTTAATCGTTTTATTTGTGTGGGAAAGCTGGCTGATGAATAAGGGAGACTGAAGAGGAATTGATGCATTTGAAATTCGGTGTGGTATGGCAAACATTTTTGAAAGCCTCATGGACTGCCAGAAAAACAAATCTGTCTTAGAGGAAGTGCTCCCAGAATGCTCCTTAGAAGCAAGGATGGCGAGCCTTCATCTCATGTACATTGGACACGTGATCAGGAAGGACCCGTCTTGGGAAAAGGACCTGATGCTTCGCAAAGTAGAAGGCAAGCAAAAAAGATGTCCCTTAATGAGATGACTGGACACAGGGGCTGTACAAATGTTCCCAGACCTAACAATTGTGAGGATGGCCCGGGACCGGCGGCGTTTCATTCTGCCGTGCATGCGGGGTTGCCCTAAGTCAGAGCTGACTCTGACGCCTAACACTGTCAGCAACAATAGTTAAATGCAGGTTAAAAATCAAAAGGCAAGGGAAAAACCTATGCAGACTAAACATACAGATTTCTTATATTTGAAGTTATCAACACCAAAAAGGGCCCCTATTTCCTGGTTCCAGTTCTCATGTTTCATTT